CTCGTTTTAATAAATAAAAATCATTTTAAAATAATTAAATTTTATTTTTTAATATAAAAATAATTATTACTTTTTAATTATATAAAAATATAATATTTTAAAATAATATTATTATATTTTTTAACCTATGTACAAAATCTTAACGATATTTAACGAGATAGTAATGATTATTTATAGTCATCGGTTTAACTACAAGAGTTGGAACAGAATATTTATCGACGCTTCAATCTCAGGCTATGCTTTTGTCAATGCTTTCTAGATGAATATTTAAACCCAGTCAATATTTTACATTCTAAATATTCATAAGTTAAATAAATCAATGCTATAAAGTCTACGTTAATTAAAATCACGTAGCCATGCGTTTAAGTTAGTTAATCTATTTTTATTATATAAAGTATTTACATTAATTAAAATTATGTATCTCATTTAAAGAAAGTTAACGTGCACGTTAACAAAAGTTATATGATTTAGTTTTCTAATATTTGATTTAGTGATTAGTTTAGTAATTGTAATTTAAACAAACCCGACACATATTTTAACAAATTTTTTCATTTTTCTAATCAACGTGGATTTTTACATACAACACTTTTAATTCACACTTCTTTTTCTCAATATTCTCTTTTAAATATGAGTTTATTTACGATACTCTCCTTTAAGCGGAAGCTCTTTCATCCACGTACGCTTGTATAGTCGTTGACACTTTATCAACGTTCTACCCACCATCACGTAGAGAAGACTTTCAAGTGAGTCAGTCATTGATACGAACCAACAACTCATGATAGCACTGTTGGCAGGATCGTCCCTATGGTTTTAAGTGCCATGTCGAAATTATGAATTTAGTGTCCTTTTTTTAATTTATAGTTTTTTTTTACTAAATTTATAAGTCATATAATTATAAATATATAATTGTAAAAAAATTAAAAAATTACATTAATATTAAAAAGTTTACACCAATTCAAAACTAAAACAAAGTTATGACAAAAGTAGTTATAATATATCAATCAATCCGAACATATATAAGTAGCATTTTAATTTTCACACAAGCTGCAATCTTCGGCTATTATTCTTTGAATATTATTCTCCTAGCACTTTTTGCTGCAAAACCACAAATATTCTCATTAGGTTGTTCATTAGCAAAAGCAATGATATTCTAATTTTCATTATTATCTACATTTAAAATAATATGTTCTTCATTATTTCTGTTTGATTGTTCATTCTCAAAATTTTCAACAGTAAGAGTCTAAGATATCTGAATTCACATCATTTTAAATAGAAGTTGTAGAATGCTTTGCTAATTTTTTTTTTTTTATCTAAAGCGTCATTTTGAGATTTAACAATAATTTCAATTTGTTTCTTTCTTTTCCGCTTTTGATGGTCAGAAAGTTGTTTTCTAGGCTACATTTCAACAACTCAAAAAGCGCAAGCAACAAACTATAATTATAATTAAATAATATCAATAAGTTAGTGAATAATAACACCTGATTTTTTATAGTTAACTTGGCTCTAAACCTCTACTAGATGCTCCAGCAACCAAAACAAACTCATGTATGTACGATAGACATAAAAAAAATATCAACATGTAAAGTATGAATTAAAAAAGAAATAAATTAACTAACTAAACTAAAAAACATGTACAGTAGCATAATGTAACAAATTGATAAAATTACAATCAACGAAGATAAAAAAAATATGGTCACATAGTCGATGAGGGATCTTCTCAAATATAGATAGAAATAAAGGAACATAAGAGTCATGTAGTGCAATGGTTTTTTCCTGCTAGAATATTAAAAGTTTAAATGTATTTTCACTAATTTTAGATTTTCTATTTTTATAGTGAATCATATATTTATGTGAATATTTTTTTTGACACAAGGCTACTTCATGGCCAAAGTCAATCATGTGAACAAAAGGAATTTTGACAGAAATTTGACGAATATAGTGCCATGCATACTAAAGGGAACTGGCTACGTGCCTATAGAAGAAGCATTCTTCTCTCTGAATCTCCACCCAACCCATGAGTTCACCTGGGGATAAGAAGTGATGTGAGAAGGTCTACGACATAGATAAAATATGGCCGACCGGCTGGGGCGACAAATTCAATGATGATGAATGAGTTCGATCCTTTAGATCAAATCACGACCTACGTGGCCGATAACAGACTTGAAACAGCTTTAGAAGCCGAAGTATTGCACATGGTTGTTAAGGTCAATGAAGTTGATGTGTTTGACGGAGGTAACTGAATCAATATTGAATTTCAATCGTCGTAGAACCACATAAGACTAGTTTAGAGATGGACATCCGAGAAGGCCAAAGGCTAGACCACGTTTATGGTGACGAGCCTTTAGGGTTTGAGAATGACCCGGTAGCATCTACTACCAATATGCAACCCTAAGACCCACTAGAGGAAATAGATCTGGGTGACGGATCAGTTCGAAGGCCAACTTCTATAAGCGCAAAAGTCGATCCAGACTTAAGGTTAAAAGTAATAGAATTTCTTAGAGAATTTAAAGATTGCTTCGCTTGGGATTATAACAAAATTCCAAGTCTAAGCAGAGAATTGGTGGAGCTAAAACTACCAATAAAGGCAGGTCGCAAGCCAGTCAAGCAGACGCCAAGGCAATTTTCCCCAGAGATAATGTCTAAAATAAAGGAGGAAATTGAAAAACTCCTACGAAGTAGGTTCATAAGAACTACAAGGTATGTCAAATGGCTTGTCAACATTGTTCCGGTTATAAAGAAAAATGGAAAGTTAAAGGTTTGCATAGATTTTAGAGATCTCAATGTTGCGACCCTAAAAACAAATACCCAATGTCAGTCACTGTGATGTTGGTCGATTCAGTGGCAAGTTTAGAGTACCTTAGTATGTTAGATGGTTATTTCGGATATAAGAAAAATTTTATTGCAGATGAAGACGTGATAAAGACGACATTTCGATGCCTAGGAGCTTTAGGCACCTATGAGTGAGTAATGATGTCATTTGGCTTAAAGAATACTGGAGCAACCTGTAAGAGGGTGATGAAGTTTATCTTCCATGATTATATTGAGATGTTTATGCAAATTTACATTAATGACATAATTGTTAAATATGTATCGAGGAAAGATCATTTGGGTCACCTCAGGCAATCATTCAAAAGAATGAGGAAATATAGCTTGAAGATGAACCCTCTTAAATGTGCTTTCTGTGTGCAAGCATGAGATTTTCTTGGCTTTGTGGTCCACAAGAAAGGAATCAAGATAAATCAAAATAAGACAAAAGCCATCAAAGAGATGAAGCCTTCGCCGACAAAGAAAGAGTTGCAATCTCTCTTAGGGAAAATCAACTTATTAAAAAGGTTTATATCGAACCTCAACGACAAAGTACAAACATTTTCACCACTGCTCTTCCTGAAGAAGAAAGATTTCATGCGGCGACCTGAGCATCATAAGGTGTTCCACGAAATCAAGACATATTTAGAAAATCCTCTTATCCTGGCACCGCCAGTTAGAAACAGATGTATGAAACTGTGCATTTTGGCCTCACATTTGGCCATAGGGAGTTTATTAGCCCAAGAGGATGATAGTGTTGTCGAAAGAGTCACATATTACCTTAGCCAAACTCTTAATGTGCCACGTGAAAAATAAAATACCATGGGTCAAACTTGATCATAATGACTCAAGGTCAAGAATCACATAAGGGGATACCGATCGAAGGTGACATAGTCGAAGGGCACGACGAGAAGCATGAGGACTTAGTGAAATTGAGTACTATGCTATGTTAGCCACTTATTGACATTGAATACTATGCCATGTTGGCTAAGGTTGGAGTCCACCATTACAGTTGAATATTATGTCATGTTGACTAAGGTTGGAGTACATCATTACAATTGAATACTATGTCATGTTGGTTAAGGTTGGAGTTCATCATTACAATGAAAGTAATGACAATTCAGTCGCCACATGTGGAGTACATCACTATAATGGACAATATGACGAAACGTGTTACATTAACGTGGTCGACGTCGAAAGATTCGACGAGGATATTTAGTTCTTGGTGCCAATAAAACAGTTGAGAAGTTCAAATAATACCACAAGGCAGAAACTACTATATCAGCGTCGACAGTTACATGGAGAACATGGGACACATCGGAGAGAACTGCTACACGATCTGAAAACGTGTCACCACGAGAGTAGCTTATCATGCTTAGGCAGTTATCTTAGTATTGTATATATAGGTACTTAGGTTCATTTTGTAAGGGAGTCCGTAAATTGTACATGTTTTTTGAAACACTCAAAATATCTACGCTGTGAAAAACGAGTGAAAGAAAGATGTACGTATGCATTCCACCGTTTTATACAAATTCAACAATTTTATCTTAAGTCTTTCTTTTATGCATTTAAGTTTTTTTTTACTTCCTCGGCAAAATTCTCAATCTCTTTATTGATAGTTATAGATAGATATAAAATTAATTTTATAAAATCAATTTATATTAGGACCGGTCCCACATAATAACGGTTGGAAAATCTTAAGAGTTAAGAAGGGTGTTTAATGTGAGACCCACACGCTTTGTCTTTGGGCAATGACAAGTTCCCATTTGGAAGGAACCAACTCGCCAACAACAAAAAAACAAACCAAACAATTCTTAGCCGACCCAAGCAACAACGTTTTCTGCTTTTTTCCCCACTCATAACCTTTTCACGTTTGTCCCACTTCTCCTATTTCCAATTATTATACTTTACATTACCCTTTCCCTTCACCATTTGCCAATTCCTCAAAAAACCTCATTCCAAAGAACAAAAACATTAAGGTTCGTGTACCTTAATTAACTTCAACATTTGACTTTGTCATTCCATTTATTCTTGTTTGTAATGTCAAACCTATATAACATTATTACATGATTTTATGGTTGGCTTTAATTTGACTTCAAATTTTCTTCTTATTATTATTTAATGTTCTTCTCCTTCTATATATGCTTATGATTGTTTCATTATCATAATTATAATCTTGATATTGTGTATTTACGATGATGATGATTCGATTTCAGTTGCTGATTCTTGTGTTAACAATTTCTACAACAGTGAGAAACAAAATGGCTACTGCAGAGATTGAATACAGTCTTGATTCAGTGAGAAAGGCTTTGGTTAGACAAGAAGATACAATTGTTTTTGGTCTCATTGAGAGAGCCAAGTTCCCTTTCAATTTTCATACATATGATAAGAATTACATTCAAACCCATGATTTTTGTGGCTCGTTGATTGAGTTTGTTGTCCAGAGTACCGAAACTGTTCAGGCTAAGGTTAATAATTTTGTTTGATCTGTTTGATTTTTTTACTGACGTACTGATATAAGTACTTATGAGATTGTTTTATTGAGCTTATGAGATTATATGACAGGCCGGAAGGTACGAAAACCCGGAAGAGAATCCCTTCTTTCCGGAAAATTTACAATCATCACTTGTGCCGTCTTACCCTTTCACAAAGGTAATTCATGAAAACAAATATGATTTTTGAATTTCCTTGGCTCATACAAATTTTAGAATGAAATGATTTGTTTTGTAATCGATTCCGTCTACAGATTTTGCATTCGGGAGCCGCTTCAGTTAACATAAACAAGTCCTTGTGGAAAATGTACTTTGATGACTTGCTTCCGTTGTTTGTTGCTTCGGGCGATGATGGCAATTACGCACAAACTGCGGCTAGTGATCTCTCATTGTTGCAGGTGAAATTTTCTCTGAAAACATTTTTTAGGAATGCCTTATTTGAGCTTATTTATTAACAAAAGGTCTTTTGTGAAACTATCTTGGAAAACTGATAGGAAAAACTTATGGTGTGTATGTAAGTTGTTTTTATCTTAGTTCTAAAAGATCTTCAGAATAGATTATAAGCTTTTCTATAAGCTGTTTTCAGCTTATACAGAAGTACTTGTATGATAAGTGTTAATGCTACGTGTATGATTAACATGTTTATCCAAACAAGTTTGTATTGATATTCTGACTTTTCATTCTGTAAGATATTTACAGGCCATTTCTAAAAGGGTTCATTATGGAAAGTTTGTAGCTGAAGTGAAATTCCGGGAATCTCCTCAAGACTACGAGCCTTTAATTCGTGCTAAGGTATAAATTGGTCGTAGATTACAAAGCTAAACTCTTACCAGCTGATGTATCGTGGACAAAATATTAATGTGATTGTTTTTGCAGAACAGAGAAGGGTTGATGAAATTGTTGACATTTAAGAGCGTTGAAGAGATGGTGAAGAAGAGGGTTGAAAAAAAGGCGACATTGTTCGGACAGGAAATAAGCCTCGACAGCAATGATGACAGCAAAGAGAAACAAAAGCTTGATCCATCAGTGGCTTCTAAATTGTATGAGAAATGGGTAATACCTCTTACTAAGGAGGTTCAGGTGGATTATCTATTGCGCCGGTTGGATTGAAACCATTGTATATTCGATGTAATTTGAAGAAAGGAATATATGATATCATTCTTCAAAAGCTTATGATTTATTTATGTGATACTTCGTTGCCAAGTTATTGTGACCTATGATTACGACAATGAGTTTTCATGCAATACACTTCCGTTGTATTTGGTTCTGTAATCAGGCATCATAGAACACATGTTCCAAGCATTCAACACAAGACAAATAATTTTCTACATTTGTGTAGATCATACTCCCTAAAACCTGGGATGTGAATCACAAATGAAGTGTGCCATCAAAGAAAATCCTTTAGAGTTAAAAGTGAAAGTTACATTTTTTTTTTAATAATTAATCAAATCAACATGCAGATGCTTTAGCAAATATAAGATGTTACTTGAATCACAACTTGTGTTATAAGATCCTTTAGCTATTTTGAGGATATTATTCGTCATTTGATCTCTAGGTAATTTTTTTCCCACAGTTTTGATGCATATTCAACTTTAGTGTATGCAAAGTTGCCTATATCTACAAATATATATTACAAACACTTCCAATTTTGTCATATTTGTAAAAATTGTCACATATAAGTGCAATTTGTCATTTTATATATATATATATATATATATATATATATATATATATATATATATATATATATATATATATATATATATATATATATATATATATATATATATATATATATATATATATATATATATATATATATATATATATATTATTAGCCCGAGTGATGTGAATTTCTTTCTACTTTCATCTTTTGTTTCTTAATTAATATACCCTAACAATTTAAATGAATGTGCGTGTTTCTTGCCGACAAAATAAAATGCATTAACTTTTAACCACCATCACTTATTTGGGAGACTACACGAAAGGTGCAAGCTGTGGTAGACAGGAAACGATGGTGGTGGAAGATTGCCAAGTCAAACTCAGGGCGATTGTGATAGCTTGTGACCCTTTTTTTTTTTTTTTTAGATTTTTGGGTATCTTTTAACTTCAGATAATCTCATGAGTCATGGTATACTTCACAGTTTCGAGTTCAAACTGAAGGAGAAAAAAATTATAGTGTATATCATGAGAAGTTTAAGAATTCTTGATCAATCTTAAGCAGAAGAAACTTGTTAGAAAACATAGAACCAAAAACTTAACAAATTGGATAAATCTACATAAAAGCCTGGGAATAATTTAAAAACCCCTTCCCACCTAAATGAAAGTGCTGACTTCTACATTCTTTTCAGCTATTACAACAAGGATATGCGAAAAACTGTGTTCAAATAAATTGGAAAACAAATTATAACTTATTTGGCATTCTTGCTAACCCTTGCTAGTGACAAACATTGATGAGAGGTGTGCCTGTTTCACATGTAAGGTTCTCTCAATGCTGTAGGCAGCACCAGTTCAGGCTCAAATTCGTCAAAAGGAGAGAAATAATGGTCTACCATGTTCTCTGATACATCTTTTAAACTAGGTGGATCCCACTGCAAATTTAGGAATAAAACGCTTCAGATAATTTCCAAAAGAAAAAGTGTGTAATACTGAATTTTTGGATGTATATAAATTCTTGGACAAACCTTGGGTGCAAAATCCTTATCAACCATTCGTGCTCGAACACCCTGCATAAAGGACAAGTCAAGTGGAATCATAAAAACACATTTAACTTGTTCTTTATGGAAAATATGGAAGGAAAAATCATTACCTCAATAAAATCAGAGGAAACCTGCTTGGAAATTGCCCGAACAGATACACGATACTCGCGTACAAGACATTGATCAAGCGTTTCAAATCTACTTTCCCGAATCTAAATTCAGTAGCAGAGGTCAGGGAAACCGAAAGAAATAAAAAAGCATCTTGAATGGGAAATAAACAAACATGCAAGGGAGATTCAACTCACAGATTGTAAAATAACTTTCAAACTCAATGGGGAGGCTTCTTTTAGTTTCTTGAGAGTTGTCAAACACCATTGATCTAAAGAATCAGCTGCCTCTTTCTCCTGATAAAATTATATTTTATTTTGAAGGAAAGGAATACTATCAAAGAGTGGAGAAGTTATGCCCCAGATGATAAAACACCAACAATGCCCCAAACCACATATTCTAACAAAATCTGACATGTTTGATTCGACAGTTCACTGCATATTTTTTCTGTCTATTAAATTTGTTTTCTATGATTGGGGAAGCATATGACGACATGGATTTAAGATACTTTTTCATCAAATAATCTCTGTTGTATTTTCTGTCAATAAAGATGTTATCAATACTAAGTGCTTTTCTTCTGCTAAAACCCCAAAAGGATTCATCCACTGCCTATTCTTTTGTTAGTATTTTTTATGTTGGAGAGGTGTTAGAAATATTCCGTCTCTCAACAGGAGACTGATACATAGCCAAGGATCCGCTTTTCCCTTTTTGGATAATATTAATGTGGTTTCAGGTAAGCCGCTACAGACAAGTCATGACACTCAGTAGAAACTAAGAAAACAGTCGCAGCTTCTACAGATATACAAGCTTCGATTTTGACAAATTACGAATAATTTTGAATAAATTTACGCAAAATAACCGCTTCCAGAAAATTAATGTTTTAAGAAAACGTTAGAAAATCAAGGTGGCAAAGATATATCAGGCCAGCAGTAGCTATACAATTAATTAAAGATGGTCTCCCAATTACATTACATTGCAGGTCAAGATATGGAATTTTTCATCAGATCGTGCACAAATACAATGCTTACCAAAGCTTCAACGATTTCCTCCACTGTATCATGACTGAAACATCTATCTATAGTATCAATCCTGAGGAAAAATAAGAATAAGACTCAGAAGCAGAAAAAGGTGGTAATCGGGCCAACATATGAAACTAAATGATTGTTGGTCTATCTTCAGATAGAAAAATGTGCAATGACTAATGACATTCTTTTAAAATTTCTATTGTTTCAGTTCTACTAGGACAGCAAATTAGAAATAACATCTAAGATAGTAGAATTTCTCAATGAGTTAAAACATAAACTTGTGATCCATACGAAAAAACAGAGTTATGCTGAAACTGTCATGATAAAAGTCATAGAAAGTAAATAAGGGTGTGTTGATGCAACATTACTTGTGAAGGATGCCGCTTCTCTCGGGATAAACGAGATCAGCATATTGTGAAAGGGATGCCTCAACAATAGATGGATCGTCTGTGACCAGTTTACCAAGGCGTTCTTCAAGCCAAGCAAGCCTCTTCAGGAGAAGCCAAATCATGTAAGAAACAGAAAACTGACCAACAAAGACGGTACGAAAAATTACAAGAGCAAAATGAAGAGCTAAAGAACATACTGCATTCAGTGAATAATGTGTAGCTAGGCGGCAAGCAATCATTTCTACACCATTAAGCTTATCTCCTGTAAGGGCCAAGTATTCCCCTGCATAGAAAAATATAAAATAATTAACCTTATGTGCATCATTTTCTGGTTTACTGTTTACAATGGAAACTATTGAGTACACGAGTGGGGAAAAAAATCATGAATATCAACACTGCTTTTGCAAGTATATGGTTGTATAACTATAAGTACTCAGTTGAGACTTTTTTGTAGAGGAACAAAGGCCCTTATGCTATGCAGAGGATTGAGTTGCTGAAGGTAAGGCGAACTTAGAGGTGCGTCAAAGAATACCAAAAATCTAGTATGGAGATTGGTTACTTAACTTTAGGACTGTAAATATTTAGTTTGGTATTTCACATCAAGAAACAACCTACAATGTTTGCAAGATTGTTAAACTCAATAGTCTACGTAACATCTGAAACTCAATAGTCGCATAAACTCAATTTTACTCGGTACAAAAATAATGTTAATATCATCTATCATAGCATCTAACACTATTTTAGTTAGTAGGAAAAACAAACCACACAAATGAAATTATATTTTGCAAGACAATACAGTACTAGACCAGACTGTATCCAACCCAGCCTGATTCAAAATAGGCAAACAATTAAAATTTGATGGACAAATAGACAAACGCACAACAAGCATAACAAGTTTGAAATCGGCGGTCAAATTGAGAAATCATAATGCTCAAAATCTAAAGAGTGAAGGATGATAGGACTTGGTTTCCCTCATTGGAGTTTGATTCAGCTTCATAGAGCTAGGATTTAACTCATCAGAGTTGGGTTCATTCAACTCGTTGACATGTTGGGTTTATTGCAACCTTGCAGCAATGCCTTAGTTCATGTTTTCTGTCTGGTTTGCAGTTCCGCTGTCTTGGGAGCTACGGGAGCTATGAGGTTATGACTTGAGACAATGTTCTTCTATACAGACAGGTTCACGTTGAGACACATTCAATCATCTTCAAACCAATGATTTATGCAAATTTATCCAAGTTCACATAGAAACAATTTGTTAAGCTAGTGAACTTGATTGTGATGCACAAGACATAAACTTGTGCAATTCTGAGTTAACTCGAGTTAGATAACCATGGATGTAAGACAGCCAGAGTGGAAAATGTTCAGATCCCACATCTGGTATATGGAAAAATACTTCCAACAATGGCTTAGGCAATTCTGTTCCATTAAACTAGCTTTACAAATTGAGTTAGACCCAATAAATTCTTAATTATAATATGGAAATTGGTCAATAAGGGCCAATCCTTAACCTGATATTGGGCTGCCAGCAAATGTCATCCTGCAAATATCACATTCTAAACATCCAGTCCAGGCCATAAGAGGATGTGCTAAAGACCACAATTTGGTTAGGCATATAGCCAAAATATTACTCACAGTGAGTTGGGCAATCCTTTCCAGTTTAGCTAGCTTTTGGAATTCAGTCTAATCCATCTCAATTCTAACAGAAATTGTAGATGAATTTCATGTAAAATGTGATTATAGGCACGCTTCTTTCCATGACTCCTAACCCAATCAGGTAATATAGTTCATAAAGGATTTAAAAAATAAAAAATAAAAAAGCTACTGTTAATCATCGTGAAATTGTCAAAAGGATTTGTTACCAGCCAACTATATGTATATGTTAGAATATTTATAAAATATTATAACAGTATAAAATATTTTCGGCTGAGAATATTACCACTTGGATTTACAAGGTAGAAATGCCTCACTTATAAAAAAAAATGGTAGAAATGCCTCAAAGAACCAATATTCGTGAAAATGACGTAGTTAAAAGTCCAGCCATCATGTTCTAAAAGTTATAAATTTGAGAAAGGGGTGTGTTATTGTTAATCAGTATCATGGAAGCTAACATCTGCTTTTCTTCTTAGTACTGTGCAGTTGAACAAGAGTCATGGGTATTAGTTTCTAATCTCTGGTAATCTTTAAGTAACAACATCCATTCTTCTCTACTGTTGGAGCATGGAGTTTCCAATGTTTAGCACTCCAGAGACCGGAAGGTTTGGAAATTTCAAACATTGTCGTTTTGGGATAATTTAGATAAAATGACATAGAAAACTTTCAAGGAATTGAAAGTTTGACAGGAGTATAACTAGGGTTATGCAGGAGGTCAGTGCTCAAGTATCATTCAAAAACTGACATTACCTAAGTAGCCGGGTAGACGAGACAAAAGGTAAGAAGCTCCAGCATCAGGGTGAAAGCCTATTTGAGCCTCTGGGTGGGAAAAAATCTGCAATGTTTACATCAACAGTTTCCAGAATTTACATGACATAAATAAATAAATAAATAAATTGCTGAAAAAGTTTCAGTTGAGCATATGAAGAAATCACGTACAGTTTTATCAGTCACCACACGGAACATCCCTGGAAGAGAAATTCCAGATCCACAACCCATTGTCCTTCCATTCAAAATAGAAACCTGCAGAAATTCCCATAAAATCTTCATTCAGGTTCAGAAAAACTTTCATGAAAAATAAAAACCGTAAAATAAAAGAGCAATTTGTTATTACGCAGCTATATAATTCTTAAAATACAGTATAAACACAAACTAATGCCAATATGAATAAACTTAGTAGCCTTATCATCTTGCTAATTGCTTTAAATACTACAAAAATGGGTTATAGTATTTTTGGAGTTTCATCTTATTTAAAACTATTGAATTTATTTTAAGAAAATTTCGATTTAGATTTTTTTCTGTGACAGCCCGGTTCCTCCACCAGGTTCAAACTTGACGACAGGGCAGGGCTACCATAACTGCTATAAGATCTTCTCACCCCCTCTTGGTGAGTTTTTTCCTTCCATGGGATTAGAACCTTGTATCTTGGGGATAAGTACAACGATTCACAGAATAAAGCAAAATAAAGCAAAATGCAAGTGAAGAGGACAGGACAAGACCACGGGAGCATTTTCATAGCCAGCTCTAAAATATAGTGCATGGAAGCTGACTCAACGGCATATTATGCATTTTGAATAACCAATCCAGAATCATGATACAACTTGCAATGGGTAACAAAAGTAATACAGTATTTAGCACTTAGCAAGAGCAAAAAACTTCGAATTGATCCACTTGGGAGTGGAGAACATGAGCATGCAAATATTTATTTTAGATAAGTTTTTATCTCTCCAATCCAAAGTACATTTAAAACAAAACCTCTTGGCAATGATCCAATACTTACATGTGGTTTAAGATATGTCCCTTGAAGATATACAAATGAATATAATGTTTTAAAAAACTCTTTAGCTTCTTCAGTCTTTCCTGCTCATATAGTAAACATAAAAACGTCATAATACGTGACTGTAAGAAACATCTTAAGTGAACGTAGCATCATTCAACTATAAAGTGATGAATGCAAGATTTGCCTCTGCTGATGAAGCAATTTAAAAAAATATGTGAAAACTGAACTAACAACTAATTAGAGTCCTAGTATAGACTGCCTTGTCTGCAACCCATTTGAGCAAAATTCATAAAAAGTTTATGAAATAAGAATATCTTAAGTGAATTGTTTATCTAAATTAAGGTCCAGCCAACTTATTACTACGGGATTGGATGAACAACATTTGATAAAGTTATGGAGTGAATCAGAAGGTTTAGTTTAAGACATGCCATTAGGAGATAATATTTGTCTAGAAGGTAATCTTATGGTCATGTGAGGGGGGGATCTAGAGGATACAAGGGTTTGTATAGGGTTAAGATCTAAATGGAGTAAATGCAACGGGTAAAAAAAATCTTTAATTTGAAGTACGAGATTTTGCAATACCTAATACCAGTCATGTAAGGGGGGGATCTAGAGGATACAAGGGTTTGTATAGGGTTAAGATCTAAATGGAGCAAATGCAACGGGTAAAAAAAATCTTTAATTTGAAGTACGAGATTTTGCAATACCTAATACCAGCTTTAGTAAATAGAAGGAGCAACTTATCACGTTTAATGCTTTGCACGAATTACAAAGTCATACCTAGAGATGGATTGACTACCTAGCAGAAGTTCTTCATTCTGAAAGAGCCTAAGGGAGAGATAACAGATATGGTCAAAATATGGTTGCAAGAATTAGTTAAATGGTTTGAACGAGAGATAACAGATATGGTCAAAATACGGTTTCAAGAATTAATTAAATGGTTTGAGGGTTCTTGGAGGCACAAAAAAGTGCTACAAATATGTGGGATGAGCCGACTAAAGGGATTAGGAGAGTAAGAAAAGGGATCCCTAATAGATCACAAGCTTTGGATTGTAAGGTATTCTTGAGGTGTAACACAAGTATGCAACATATTAACTAATTAAGGTTAAATGTGAGTGTTATAAACCATGGTCTTCGTAAGGGAAATGATGAAAAATGAAATAAACAAAGGGTAGCTAAGAAAGATCTCATGTGAGTCCCAGAGAATTAGCCAGCCAGCTACTATGCTTATACCAATCCTTAGACACCAAGGCTACAGGAAGAAACATCTACAAGCTAGGAATAGTCTAAATAAGATAGTTATGGACTGAATCTGAACTGTATACTAATATAGTTAGTATGTAATTACAGTTAAGTTACTATAAACCCCGGTATCAATGGTTCTTACTAGTATATAAAATCCTCCATTATGTGATTGAATTTGGCACACATGGATTCCATTTTATCATGTCACTAGTTTTTCTTGTCTCAATATGTGCTTAAGGTAGAAACGGAAAGATAGGATTCAAACATGCAATTGAAAGATAAATACATAAAAATAAATAATAGACATTTGACCATCATTCCAACAAGAAGAAACTCAATTTAGCAAGATTTTAATTTAATAAAGAAAAACGAGTACACAATAATAACCCAATACATGAAGCAAATTTTTGATAAGGCCCTAAATCAGCGTTTGTGATAGTTTAACTTAGAAGATGAAATGTACAACTTAAAAAGGCAATGCATCATGTTTTATCTACAAAATAAATATTAGGAATAATATATAATATTGTTAAGAGTCTCACATTGGATGAAATATGACATGAACATATGTTTATAAGTGAGGGTTATAATTGTGGTTGGGTCTGACTAAACCTTACAAAATTGTGAAAGATTACCCACCCCTTACAAACATATTTTAAAGTCACATTCTTTCCAATGTGAGACTCTTAACAGATATATTTGCTTATAACAGTTATTTGCATGAATTCAATCTACCCCCTTGAAAGATTGAAAGTAAAAACCATAATATACATGTTAAATAATCAATAAAAGATTAAAATGCAACACACCTTCATTGATCGAGTGATACAGCCTAACAACATCTGCACCAGAACAGAAAGCGCTGCCTCTACCCTTCAAAACATTCCAGCCAGAAACACATTAGAAAAACAAAACAAAAAAATTCCCAATATGAATATTGCAAAAATTATAAAACTACACATCACATCAAAAACTATATAATATCATGAATAATAGAATCATTACATTCCTAGTTCAGGGACAACTGATTAGTACCTTCATTAGAACAAATCCAATATCAGAGTTTTCTTCCCACGAATCATAAAGCCTCTTCAACCTAGCAACCTATGAAAATCCAAAATGACTTGGTGTTTACCTCAAAAACAAATGAACTCAAAAAGCCCGACGAAAAAATAAGGAATCTAAGAAGACTGTACCATTGAAGTAGTGAGCGCGTTCAGAGAAGATGGCCTGTTGAGAATAGCTGTACGCGATTTTGCTCTTCCTTCAACCAAAATCTAAACCAAATAACAAAATGATCAGTTGAAAATGAAAAACATAAGTTACATGATGTTGATGTTGATAAGTGAGGAATGAGAAAATTGACCTGGTTTTGGGAATCTTCGTCGTCGTCATTGCGTTCAGCGTAATCTGGTTGAGCGGAGAAAGCTCGACGATGAGAACAGAGCGAGCGAGATGAGAATCTGGTTCGTGGTAGCAGAGCTTTGAATCTCTGCATCTTCAATTTTTCTAGCTTTATCACTTATAGCGCAGAGAAGGTGTTTGATGTTTGGACTTTGGAGTGTGCTTCGAAATGAAGCGGGTGCTGAGAGTGTGAAATTAATGCGCGAGAAAACTCTGAAATTGAAGAAATGGTTTCGTTCGGGTACCAAATTGGGTCGTAGTACTCGTAAGGGTTTAGAAGGGTTTTTATTTTGAATTAAAAATCATTTCGAAAATCGAAAATAAAATATAAGGAAAAGTCCGTTTTTTAAAATGAAATACAAGGAAAATATATTATTCTTAAAATATCTCTGGTTTAATTCAATTTTATATTTTTAATGACTTAATTGATTAGTCGCAAACATGTTTTGGTGTAGTTTATATTTGAAACAAAATGGATATATTAACGAGACAGTAATAATAGTCTTGAGGCAAAAAACAAAGTTTTGGTGTAGTTTATATTTTATTATCGAAATAAACTAGTGATCCTTGAGAATATGAAGCATAAGTGACAAGTTATAGCAATTACATCAGTCAAAAAAAAGATTTATGGTGATATTTAAGTATGCACCCTTTGAAGTTGAATAAGCTCCATCTATGTTTTTCCAATCTTAAAAGAATGTAGTAGAAAAATCTTTTGTTAATTTGGCATTGATGCCCTTATTTCATTTGAAGGTATCTATAGTACTTTAAATGGGATATTAATTACTCTAACTTTAAAGGTGAAGTCATCGAAATCTATAAAACATATTTGTCCTATTAATGTGTCTAATGTCACTTGTAAAACTATTACAAAACAAGTAGCCAGGAGATTGAGGAAAATTACTTGATCGTGTTTGAATTGTGGTGGAGATGTCACCTAACTCGCATCTAAGCTGAAACAAGAATATGTAGCATTTTAAAATTTATGTTAAAGTGGTATTGAAAATTTCTTTGCAAAAACCAACTAGTATTTAATAGTCTCTATTGACTTTAGAGTTAAGTAATTTTGTTCTTAACGAAAAACATATGTATATTGCGCGATAATTTTTTTATGTTATGAGGGGCGAATAAGGAGGAAGGAAAAGAAAATTCAAACTTCAAACAAACACATTTACTTGACTCTTTCATCACGTTTTCAGTATGTAAAACTTTCTCTATATTTGTATTAGTAATGTTGTTGTTCTTATTATTATTGTTGTTGTTGTTGTTATCATTATCATTGTCATTGTTGTTGTTGTTATGGTTTTATATACTTAGGGTATAATGTTGTGTTGTTTCTCAAGAATTTGTAGTAGTTGTTGTTTAGTGATATTGTTGTTTTATTGAGATGGATGTTCATTATTGTTGGTTGTGTACCATTTTTATTATATTTTCAGAAGTTGTATGGAATTATGGATTGTAGTTTAATGAAAGCCAATAGATTAAGTAAAAAAGTATTAGAATGGAGTGATTTAATGTCTTGAAATCACGGGAAACAACCTTCTTGAAAATAATGAGATTTTTTTATCTTTATAAAAATGTCCAAATACGCAAAAACATCCGAAGGATGATATATTCAATCATTTAGGTTATGATTGAATTATTCAAAATTACACGAAATGGGCATGGCATCGTGAAGTGGCAAAAAAATTGCGTCAAATGAAGTTGAAGTTGATGAATATATGAATGATACCCTATAAGATATGATCAAGGATATTGGAGTAGATGTTTTAAAGAAAGCTCATGTGGAAGATACTTTGTAAAGTGACATGGAAGAGTTATTATTTTTGGGATGCAAATTTTTTACAAGTTTGTCAGTTGTGTTAAGACTATTTAATCTTAAGGAAAAATGTGGGTGAATGGATAGAAGTTTCACTAAATTGTTTGAATTGTTGCAAGAAATACTTCTGGAAGGTAACACATTGATGAACCGTAGTTATGAGGCCAAGAAGATATTGTGTCCAATGGATTTAGACTATGTCAAAGATACATGCATGTCTTAATTGTTGTATATTATACATGAAAGAGTATGAAAACTTATAGGCATGGCTGAGGTGCGGGAAGTCACGCTACAAAGTGAAGAACAATGGTGCTAAAGATGATGATGATATAACTAGAAAGGGTGTTCCTGCCAAGGTGATGTGGTACCTACCGATAATTCAAAGGTTCAAGAGATTGTTTGTTAATGTAAATGATGCAAAGAGTAGTAGATAGCATGCACATGAAAGAGCATGTCATGGAAAAAATTTCCATGTAGTTGATTCATTGCAATGGAATAAAATTGATTCGTTGTTTCTAGATTTTGAACTTGAGTCAATGAACCTTAAGCTTGGACTTTCCACCGATGGAACGAATATGTTTATTAATATAAGTACTAACCATACTTCATGGCATGTTCTTTTCGTTAATCATTTGTTAATCATTTGTTTTAATTTTGTTCTAAAATTATAAGGCGTGTGCCTTTTTGCCTTTGTAATTGGTGTAAATAATGAATTTGGTGTAAGCAATGAATATTCTTGGTACAATGTTTTGTTTTAGAAATGGGCAAAAGAGGTTTTGTAATATAGGTTAAAACGGAAAAAATATAGAAAAAAATAAATAACAATGTTTTCCCTCGGTTATTATATTAAACTGACTAAATTATTCTAGTTTTCTTATAACTGAGAGAAAATGTGAGACGCGTCATCCAATTCTGAAAAAAAAAATGCAATTGATGGGGATCAAACCATGACCATTAAGTTTTTTTCCTCGGTGGAGTCTCGACAGTGGGGGAAAATGACATAAATTTCATGACGCCCTTCGTTATCTCGCATCTGAAATCAAGGTTAACCCTCATTTCTAACGGAGGTAAAATGGTTTTTTTCATGATAATGATAATACTGAAGGTTTGTGTTAAGTATTGTTGCCAATAAAGATATTTATCTGAAGAAATTGGATGTGAAAAATATGTTTCTTCATGGAGACTTAGTTTAGGTGATATACATGCACTAACCTAAATGATTCTCAAAAGAAGAGAAAAATAGTATGGTGTGTAGGCTAATAAAGAGCTTGTATGGATTGAAATAAGCTCCAAGACAAGGGTATACGAAGTTTGAAAGCTTCATGCACAAGAAATATTTCAATAAGTATAATGTCAACCAATGTTGTTTCTTCAAGAGATATAAGTCGATTATATCATTTTGTTCCTTTATATTGATGATATGTTGGTATCAAACTCAAATATAGACAAGATCGGAAATATGAAGATGTGGTTGTCAAGTGGTCTTGCAAAAAGGATCATTGGTATGCAAATCACAAAAGACAGGCAAAAAGAATTGTTGCAGTTATCTCAATCAGAGTATATCAAACGTGTTTTGCAAGGAGTTAACATAGATAATGTCAAACTAGTTAGCATACCTTTGGAAAGTCATTTTCTCATATCTAAGGATCAGTTACCTAAGATGTAGAAAGAAGAGAATCCATGGCTAAAGTCTATATTGGAAGTCTGATGTGCACAATGGTATGTACAAGTCCATATATTGGTCATGCAGTGGAAGTTGTTAGTAGGTTTATGTGAATTCAGGTAAAGTTAATCGGAAAAAAATTAGTGAATTTTGAGATATCTACGAGGCACCACTGAGAAAATTTTGTACTTCAACAAAGGATAAATAAAAGAACAAGGTGACATTGATGCAAACTTTGCTGGTGATTTTGATCATTGAAGAAATACAATTAACTATATATGTTAGACGGTGGTGCGGATCTAGAAGGGGAGTTGAATAGATCCCTTGTTTAAAAAGAGTCGGCGCTACCAATAAAATTGGTTTTAAAAATTTGTTTAATTTGCGGAAGCGGCTGTGGAAAAATATCGTCTATAACGAACGGTTACTAGAAAACCGGATATGCGTTTTAGCCGATGGAATCAGATAACGAGTAATGAGAATCACTACGCTAGTCACACTATCAATTTGATTTGGCTCACTATGTGGTATGACTAGTTCCAATGCCTTAAAATATTACCACAATAAATAGACAATACACTAGGCTTTTGGTTCAGACAATTTATCAAACATTTGGCGTGCGGAACACTACAAGTGAGTTCCGATTTGAGTAATTTGCTCTAGTTTCCTTGTACAATCAATGATTGTACTAGAGTTAAAATCAGTTTAGCACTTACTCAAAACAGGCATATATTTGATATAATTGTTTGCACTAAAACCACACAGATATTAAGCAATGTAAAAACGTAAGGCAAAATGCACAAGGATTTATAGAGGTAATTCCCCCGTCGTCCTCGCTTCGGGGTACATCTGCCCTCAATTCTAACAATAGAATTGAGACCTTATAATATAAATTTAACCTGTTGTAGAATCGTACATACAAGAATTGAAAGCAATCAAACAAACAAACACCCTTGTTGTTGTAGATGCTATCTCCTCTTGCCCATTGATTCGAGTTGAATCAAGTCCTTCGGTAGCTCGTGAATAAATCTCCGATTACAGCTTTATGTTTGAACAACCTTCCGTCTTCAAACCCAGCCCGACTGATTTCAATCACTCGCGTGTCGAACCTGAAACTCTCCTTCACAATCCTCCGCTTACCGTTACTAGATCGACAGAACCCACTGCTTCTCGATCACCTTCACTCGGCTGAATATGTGTTGAGAAGAATCGTGCAAAAACCCCCAAATTCAAAGAATCTTGGAGGACAAAACCCTAAAGGTTTTGTTCAAGAAAAACTTGTCAATTCCTCAACCCGAACCGGATTACCCAATCAGCGGCTTCGAACGTTATCACCTTTAACAATGCATAATGCACAACAAAGATTATTGTGTGTGATTGTTGTGTTATGAAATGTAGAAGATGAAGATGATGAGAACTTGAATTGACACTTCTTTCACTTTTCTTGTTTTTCTGAATGATTCAATGTATGTGAAGTGAAAAGAGCAATTGAATATTTATACTAGACAAAACTGTTATAACTGAGAAAACCACTTTTCAAAAATAATAGACAAATCAGGAAATATGCATAAAACAGCGAGCGGTCGACCCATGCAGAGTGCAGGGTCGACCTGAG